CCGCGATGGAGGCCATCCGCGGGGACTATAGGCTTCCGGATGTGGGTCAGGACGACAGGGAGAATGTCGACCCTTACACCGTGACGGACGAAGACTTGGCTGCGTCGGTAGACGCGTTGACTAGGAGGTTGAGCAATATGCCTGGATGGTCGGGGAATTTGATCGACCCTGCGAAGTCTGCTGAGCTGGTCGCGGCGAGATGGGGCGGTAAGGCGAGTTATGACAAGCCTGAGGCTCCTCTGACTGAGGCTGGGATGAAGAGTGCGTCATTGGAGGATCGTGCCTACGCACTATCGCAGCTGAATCAGATGGTGAACTTCCACAAGAAGCACCTCTGCTCTGGGCGAGGAGCGCCTCTGGTGAGTGCAGCTGCCCCTAGTGGACCCTTTGCTCCTGACCAGCTGGATGATAGCAGGAAGTTCAGGCCTAGTGGGGCGGCGAGCAAGATGACCTACAATCTTGTGATACTGGATGGGAAGGAGGATTATCTTGCCGATAGGCGAGAGATCAATCCAGAGTTAAGGGAAACGGGAGTTATCCCTGATGAGGCCGTCACTTGCCAGATTGTGGTTCCCTCGAAGACGAGGTTGGGTGAATACCTCCCGAACTACGAGGAGACCGTGGGCACTGTTGCAGGACGGGAGGCGGCAAAGGAGTTGATGAGACTGCTCTCGTGCGATTTCGACGGCTTGGTCATCAATTCAAAGAGAGGTCTCGGAGTTATTCGAGGAACGTGTGCTGAAGGAGACCGGACGCGAGGCTGGAAACTGGGTGAAAAGTGACCAGGCCATCTGGTTCCTGAAGGAGATTTCGGGTATGGAGAACGCTGAGATGTCTTGGAAGTTCTTCATTCCGACGCTTAAAGCTTTCCCGATAGGGCAAGTGGAGGCAATGCTCATGGTCATGTACGACGGGGATGGCGTTCTCCTCAAGGAGAGCACCAGGTTGGTTGCCGTTAGGCACACGCGGATCGGACGCGACTTGAGTTACAGTGCCGTTAGGTACAGGTATACTCAGGAAGATGCACCTGGCGGGTCTCTGATGTATGAGATGCATTGGAATGAACTCCCCATGGTGGGATACGTCATCATGAAGTTCTCGGACTTTCGGAAGGCGGTTCAGCTCCAAAGGGTGAGGCGTAATGGAAAGGCCATGATCGAGATATTGATCACGAGGCCCGATGTGTACGAGACCATTGGGGATGGTAGGCAGGATGAGGGCCTGATCCCACTTGTGGGAGCCATGGCGCCGGATGCTGAGGTATCGCCTTCGTGGTATGTCAGGGACAGGCTGCGGAACTACTCCGGTAGGTACGTGGTGGTAATGGTGGATCTTCGGGTGCACTGGTCCTTGGTTGGACCCGTGTTTTTGACGAGAAGGAAGACTCTTGCCGTTAGGAACGAGATCCACATGGGGGCTTGGAAGGCGGCGTATATGTACGATGATTACACGATAGTGTACCATCGGGCATGGGACTACGGTGACTTCACCCCCGTTAGGGGAGAGCACAGGCGATCACGGGAAGAGATCAGGCTGAATGTGACTGCCACGTTCTGCTTGAGGTGCGCAGAATTGATGCCGAATGGGATGCACTTGTGTCCCGGGTGCGCGCTCCCGGTCTTTTACCCGAACTTTATCCCCAACACGGAGGAAAAGGACTTCGAAACGTGCCACATCGTGCCGGAGTGGGTGAGGACCATGGGGCAGTTCAAGCCCAGGAGGATTCCCTCCGAAGTGGTCGGAGTCATCAAGAGGAATTTGATTTCCTATTCGATGGCATCCGATCTAAGGATGACGGTGCAGAGCGGCATCAGACTTCCCCCTTATCTTGGTGAAGACAAGGGAGGTGTCGATGCGGCGTGGGATGAGCTGGCGAAGGTGCTCTTCCAATTCTCCTATGTGTCCGGGATTTCGGCCTCGGATGCGTTTGTGGAGAAGTGGGTGGCGAAGCACCTGATCAAGACCAACCAAGTCGATAGATTTGAGTCGGTCACGGAGTACTTCCGGGCCAACCCAAGACACGCTGCTCAGTGGGGTAGGCGTATGACGACTTCCGTTAGGAAGTTCGCTCGTCATGACACGTACTTGTCATTCTATATTCCGATGGCATACGTGATTGGTTCTGCGGCTGGTCATCTGACCCCGTTGTACCCGACCCATCGAAAGGACGTGGACATCCTGGAGAGTCATGCGCTGATGTCGCAGCTCAGGGGGTACATGGTATCGGAGACAGGGTATGATGAGAAGAAGAGGTTGAAGGAGGCGATAGCCAAGGTGCAGAAGGCGATCAGTGCCGGACAGTCAGAGCCTCCCGCACCATTCCGTGACCCATTCGTCTACGTTAGCGACGAAAGGGTGAGGACGGTTCTTGACGGTCGTCAACCCGAACCATTGAACGTGGACATCGAGGGACTCCAATCAGTGCATCATGCTGCGCCGGGTCCTGGTCCCAAGCAGGAACCGGTCCCCAAGGGCGGAAAAGGAAAAGGGAAGAAGGGGGAAAAGGGCGGTAAGGGCGGTAGTCCTTCCGGCCCGCCGCCAAAGTCAGGTGAAGTGCCGGGTAAAGGATCCGGTAAGGGCGGTAGCCCATCCGTCCCGAAGGCGAAGGATGACGCTGGACCTGCTCCGATGGAGGTTGATGCAGCAGCAGCTCAGCCGAAGAAGTCTTGGGCCGAGATGGTGGTTGAGGGGGCCAGGCCGAGTGCCAAGGCTAAAGTGACCCCAGTCCCTAAGGCAGAGCCGAAAGGGAAGGCTGCTTCGGCATCTGAGGCGAGGAGTGCTCCGGCTCCAAAAGCTGTGGCTAAGGAGACGAAGCAGGCCGAACCGAAGGTTGAGGTCAAGAAGGAGAAGACAGGCGGAGGTGACGCTCCCGGCGGTAGCCGCGGGTCGGCCGAAGGGCAGAAGAGAGAAAGGAAGTCCCGTTGGGATCCCGACGAGGCTGCGAAGGAGTCGACAAAGCGGGAGGCATCCACGAGGCCTGGCGATGTCGACAGCAGACCGGGTGCGGCAGCGAGAGAAGCTAGCGGGGATGATCTTCACTCCGCGCTTGGCAGATCTTCGGCAAAGGATGCGGTAGCGCCTTTGACTGCCTCCAAGGCGATGGCAAAGAAGCCTGAAGGCGGGGAGATCCGGCTGCAGTCTGCTGAGCGGGCCGCGGCGAGCCCGGTGGAGGGTCACTTCCTGGTGCTGCCTGAGAGTTCGGTGGTGGACGCTTTCTTGACGATCTCCACCAACAGAGTGCTGAACAAGCAGGTTAGGGATTTCATCAGAAATGGTGAGGACGCGTCGGCACTGGAAGCTCTCAACCAGATCGTGACGAACTCTCAATCTGGGAGGAGGCGTAGGGAGTCGGATGTTTCCCGTACTCCTTCTCGGAGGTCCGTTAGGACCGTGGACACCAGGGATTCCAGAGAGTCGAGGAGGCGCAGATATCGTCCGCGGCGCGAGGATGATCGCGACAGGAGGAGGGACGATGCTCGTGATCGTCGTGATGATGATTCACTCGATCGGGAGCGGGATCGAAGGCGAGATGATCGCAGGAGATCCGAAAGGGATCGTGATAGGGACCGTGCGCGGGGCGGACGTGACCGGAGGAGACGTGACGATAGCCGGTAGGCTGAGTCACGAGGATTGCGGCCGATAGGCTTGCGTCCGTTCTCCAACGGTCAGCGCGGTGCGGAGGTGGTGATGTTCCTCCCGGACCGCTGAGGCGCGGAGGTCATGTCTCTCCCGTACCGCTGCTGAGCTGCTGGACGTGCTCATCCGGAAGCAGTGTGAGTGAGAGGGAAAGCAAACTGATGGGGGGTTACTCCCGGGTTTGCGGAATTCAGGCATTTTTCAGGTACGCATGGTCAGGAGTACCTCTTGCCGTTAGGCGAGGGTACTAATGGACATACGTTATCTTTTATTTCATGGCTTCTGATAAGAATTAAACTTCTTGCATTTCTGATGCAAACAGTTGTGACCTATTGTCGTCATGTGGACTTTTCCACAAGGTATGTTGGACAGCGTTACCCCGATTAATTCGGGGTGGTGGCGGGAATTTAATGCCCGGGATGTCGCGCGACTGCCTTTGTGGGTTTGCTCCACCGCTGACGGCGGTAGTGTCCAGCTGTTTGCGGACGTATGCGAGCAGTTAAATCCTATCAGTAAATGGCACGCTCCACCCGTCATATGACGGGCTCCTCGTGAGGGGGGTGTGATTAGCCATGGTTTATTTCATCACCAGGGATGTCGCGGTAGTGACTGACCTGTGGTGTTTGGCTCAAGTTTTGGGTTCCGTCGCGCCTCGAATGGGCGTCGCCGAACCCCTGCGTCGACCGACGGCATCTCGGGGGAGAAAGAGACCTCGGGCCGCCGCCAGGTTGGTAGGGACCAGTCGTGCGGCCTGTTGTCGACCAAGGTTGCGGGTTAACCCTTTTCTTGTTTGGTTTGTTTCCTTTTGGTTGTTGTTCTCTGGTGTGTGGGAAACCCTGATCTTTGGGACCGGGGATTGGTTTGCTTTTGGGGAACCTTTCTTTTGTGGCTTGTTTACCCCAACTTACCCATTGCCTGGGCACAGGCTCGTGCCCGAATCACACCCACTAATAACATGGCTAACTCCACGTACCCGGAAAAGTTATATAAGTGGGTTGTCATCTAGGTTGCCAACAACTGACTAACTTGGCCGAACACCCTTAGGTAGGGACGCAGGAATAACAGGTGATCACTTTTTGAGGCCATGACTAGACATGGGAACCACCATGTTTGGAAAACTAAAAGGTCAGATCGGTCGATTCGCTTTTCGCTTTGGTTGCAATTGATTGAGCGTAGGCGGGTCCAACTCTCAAAACTCCCTCTGTGCAACCCGCAAATTCGGGAACCCTGACAAAGCCCAACTGTTGATTTTGGCTTTCGCTGAATTCTACCCCTTGAGTCTAGGCAGACCCAAGTAGAGTCACGGATCCCCCGGGGAAAAAAACACAACAACAAACACATCGCCTTGGGCCCCCACACCCCGCCTGCCCCGGCAGGCTGGCGCCGGCGCCGGCGGCAGCGAGTGACCCTCCCAGGGAGGCCGCCGCGAGGCGCCAGCTCCGACTCTCCAGGAGGTGGTGCGCGAAGAAGACGTAGCGCCCCTGCGGGGTGTCTTCAGGGATCCAGGCTCCAGGCTAAAGGAAGAGCCTGGGGGTTGATTCCAATTCCATTCTTTTCACAGGCATCCGGATGCATGAAAAACACCTGAACATTGCCAACTTGTAAATGGTGGGTTCCAACTTGATTTTGGTGGTGAAAATGCAACATGTTTCAAATGGGCAAAATGTATCTTTTGAGGGGAACCCTCCGACAAAAAAAAAGGTGAGAAAGGGCACTACTGGGGGGCTGAGGAAAGGAGTAGCTCCTCCCACCAGCTAACATAGGTTTGTGCACAGACCCCTGTAGAAAGGCGACTTTCCTCTTGTTTAGTTGGCCTTTTTGCACTTCTATGCTAGTTGGTGGGAGGGTAGATCTGCTTTCATGCGTTCACTCCACAAATAACAGATTCTGGACAGCGGGCTGGGAAAGAAGGGTCCGAAAGGGGGGCCATTGCAAAGCTAGGATTGAACATGGCTCACTTGCGACTTAGCCAGACCCACACAAGGCTCCTATGGACTCATGGGTACATTGCGCCGAGTGAAACGTGTGCCGCACAGAAGGATCTGCAAACTAGCGTGTGGAATGATGGAAGGCGTGTTGATCTTGCAAGTGGGGGCGGGCATGCGCCATTGTGAAGGAGATCCTCAGCAATATCACCGCAAATTGGGAGGGGGGGGAGGGGGCGGAGGCCCGCAGAAGAGCAAGAGTGTTCACCTTGACTTTGTAGGTTTGTAGGGATCATGGTTGCAAAGAAAGCCTCCCGCAAGGCTCGACGCATCTCGACGCCTATCTCCAGCATACCCGGCCGTTGGGCAACCGGCAACCAGATGTGGCCATGGGTCAAAATCCCGTACCCCCAGTGAACATCCCAATCCCCACTAAAATAGGTTCTAAAATGGGTGGTGCACCTATCCCAAAATGGTACCATTGGTTTTGACAACCACAGCGATGTCCCAAACAAATAAGCGCCCGCCTCGCTGCCTGCATTCCAAGACACCCAGCCAAGCTACAACCCCCATAGCCCAACTGCTTCAGGGAGGACTTGGAAGTGAGACCGACCAGCAAGCCCATAAATTATCGACCTACTTCATTTTGAAGAAAGAAGGAGTACTCAAGTGGGTGTCTTTTTCAAGGCACCCCCCTCCCCAAAAAAGCAAACTGTTGGCTTCCCTTTAAGCCAAACAGAGGGCACCATCAACAAAAAGACACACCCAAGTACAAGCTTCCCTTTCAAACCGCACCAAAAAGGGGGCACCCTCCATAAAAAGCTGAGCCAGCCAAGTCCAGGACCATGGCTTCCATTTGGTTTGTACCCCTGGAAAAATAAAAATATGTCCAGTAATGATCATCTCCTTTTAAAACCAACGAGGGAAAATACAAAAATATTCTTCCTTTCAGCAAATGGAACATGGGCTCCCATGCAAAAGGTCGCCCAATCTCTGCGGCCTCTCCCGGCGGATCCCGCCGCGCCATCTCCCGCGCCTCTCGGGCGCCGCAAGCCACGAGTTGCTGCGGCCACGTTTCGCCCAGCAGCGAGGCGCCGCTGCAGGCCTCGCACCGGACGAGGCCACGATTTCTTGGGGCCAAAGGCTCCCGCTTCCGATCGAGAGTGGCCAGGAAGAAGTCCAACCTGTTTGTCTACCACTAAAATGGTCTACCGAAAAAAGTGAAGAAAAAAAGGCCCAACCGTTTTATCTACCACTGAAATGGCCCAAACCCCGACAAGTTAATGAAAGTCCGAAACGGAACTCGGGAAGTGAGACTCTCCGAGGAGAGGCCTCCCGAGGGAGTTCCTCTGAACTTCAGAAGCTGCCTTCTGCTTGGATTCCTCTCATAAAGTGTGTCATGGATTTGTTTTTGCCGTGCTGATTTCCAATCCGGACTGCCAACAAACTCACCATCTTGCTCCGAATTCTCTACTTGGCGCATTCGGTCGGGCCTGGAAGCCTTGCTCCAGGGCCTGGCACTCGCTCACCGCGCCGCCGCCTGTCTCGCGCCCTGCGAGGGCCGGGCGATCGCGGCGAGCGCGCGGCGATCGCGGCTTCGGAGGGCCGCGGGGCAAACGGCGGACACCGGCGGTGGAACCAGCTCTCGCGTTTGGTTTTTAATCCTTAAAGGGGAGTTTTTGTTTTAAATGAGGCCCCATAGAAAACCCAAAACAAATCATTGAAGCGCGTAGGGGGCAATTCGCGGGGAGGGATAAGGCAATTCCCGGGGTCACTGAGGCTCAGGGAAGCCGCGAGGAACCAGGAAATGGTTGCTCAAACATATCTGGAGGCTTCTCAACTTGGTGGACCCCCCCTTCTGGTTTGTTACAAGGGTTTATATATCCGAGGTCAACATTAGCCTAGGTGAAGATCCACTTATAAGTCCCCCGTTCAGTGGAGTAAACCGTGTTATTAGTGGGTTCTAGCCCAAGTGGACCACTTCCTAACTTGGCCAAACATCCAAGTGGTAGATGGGTGTTGCTGAAAAGAAATCGGTTGATTTCCTAATTGGCGACGGTTTCATTGCGGCTTCCCCTCAATATTAATGGGGGTGGTCCCCTCCAAAAGTAGTCGGCATCCCAAATTCCTCAGGGACAGCCCTACATTAAACTGGGGGTTCCTGGAGCTGGTTTCTCAGAAACACCTTACAAATTGGAAATTGAAGGTGGTCACCTGGAAATAAAAGGTAATCGCCTCTTGGGACCTTGCCGAAATATGGGAACCCAACATTGAAAAAACCAAAGTTGTCAACAGCTTGGCGCATACTTGCACAACTGGACATATGTGCTTCCTCAATTTGTGGTACCTATTTCCTCATCTACTTGTTTCCAGCAGCCGAAAACTCGCCAAAAAATTCCGTGCCCTCGGCGCGTCGAAGACACCCCCCCGCAGCCGCCCTCCGCCCCCTCCGCGCCTGTCGCCCAATGCCGCGCCAGCCGCCTGAAATGCTCCAAGCGCCCGTGGCCCGCGCCCAGCGCCGCGGAACGCGGGAGGAAGACGCCGAGGAAGGCGACGCGTAAGCAGGCGCGCGGCCATCGCATGGCATGGCGCCGCAAGCCACGGCCCCGGAAAAGCCCCCAGCCGGGGGTGAGGGACGTGTCGTCGTTGTTCTTTTTATGTTTTTTCTTTCTGTATTTGTGTGTCAGGCTCGGTACTTGTTCTTTAAAACCCGTTGGGGAAGTTGGACACGGCAAAATTGGAGGAAGTGAGGTAAACGTGTTGAACGCTCGTTGTTTGTATGGGCGGGGCCAAAAAAGACCGAAGTGGGTGGGCGCCCCAAATTCTTTGGGCCTGATATTGACGTTTCGTCGCGCTCCCCAAATCAGACCCCATCCGGCCGAGCTTATCTTGGGGCCTTCCCACTCCCTCCAATGAAGCCTCAGCCATTGGGGCCCGCTTTTTGGTTGCTCAACAGGCACCCACGTCTGACCCAACTGATTGAGGCAACCAACCGGGACCCCAAAACTTAGCCAACGAAGCGAGGCAGCGATCGACTTCAAAGACCTGCAAAGTCTTCAGCGCAGGAACCAAACGTTATTGAAGTGACATTCTCTTGCTTTTTTCTCCCACAGATTTCAAACAAGGGCCCGCGATATGTCCACCGTTAACACCACCCCAAACAAGTCTTACCTCTTTTTGGGGCCAAAGAGCGCCTGTTTAAAAAGGGAACCCCGGTGAGAGCCCCTGACCATCTTCAATGAAGAGGAATCGCCAGGCTGAGTCATCGCCAAAATCCGCGGCCCTGGAACTTGGCCTTCGACCTTTCTTTTGTTTTTTGGGAGGGGGGTTACCCGGAAAGTGTCCATTCCTTTGACTTGTTTCCTTCTTCTTTTTTTGGGGGGGGTGCGGTTACCCGGAAAGCTTCCATTCCAACTCCAGCCCGAATCAAATCCACACCACACACTCCAGCCCACACTCCCAAATTTGCCAAAACATGGCATCCGAGTTTAGAACAAAGCAGCTCGAAGTGCGTCAAAGGACCTTGCTGTCCACTTTGGGGGGGACCTGCTTCTTGTTAGGGTCCACGTTGGAAGCCCATGCATGATGTAAACCTATCGATGCAATTATCTCTGCGTCGATTTGTTTGTTTGTGCAGTGTTCGGTGGATCCACGTGTAGGCACCCGAGGAAGATGTCCAAATGGAACATGTGATGCAGGACCCGCAGTACTGTGACCCTGGTAGAGAATGGGAACCGTTTAACACAATTTGGTTTATACCGCAGGTTTTAGTCCTTCGTTCCATTTACCAGGACAAGCCATTTGGGGTACCTATTTTTGACCCACAGCCAACAAAACATGGTCCAAACTTGGAAGAGCAAAAGGTCAAAGGTCGGCTTTGAGCTGATTGATCGCCTATGTTTCATGGGAAAACTGAGCAAAGACGAGTTTCTTGGTTGACGTTGGAATTGGAGCAAAACATTTGTTTTAGCAGCTAGGTGGGGATTTCCCACTAAACCACAATAAGCAAAAATGCAAAATGTGTCCCACCAACAACCATGGTTTGACATGTGCAACCCGCTGACTCACCTGAAGCACCAGAAACGGAAAGCATCGTCTTTCTTCATGGGATCTTGACCCAATAATTTCAATCCAACCAAAAGGTCATACACATAGGTGGCCTTTTGGAAAAATAGATGGCCCTGGTAAATGGAATAAAACCCATCCAAACCAGTGGAACCCATCTATCTTTAGCCAAACTAACCTAGAAGGGACACCTATGGTAGTCAACAAACGGGCTAAAACGGTGTGTTGGAGGCACCGCTGGGCTGAATGCCGTGCATGGCCCGGTTACAACCACTGACCCTGGTAGAGAAAAGAACCCGCTTTTGGGGCTAGGACCGTCCTTAGCCCAACAACCTGTGCTAAACAGAGGGTCTGGAAACACCCATGCCCAAAACGCGCAGGGTGATTATACCGCTTTGGCAATTCAGCACCCATGCTGAATGGGCAAAAATGTAAAAAAAAAAAAAAAACTGTTTCCAACAACAACCATGCATGGTTGCCATAACATCCCCGACTGACAACACCCCGGCACAGCCACACCGACCCAAACGCCCAAGCTGCCGCTAGTGAACAGCTCCAGCGCTTCTCTGGCGCTGGACTTGGTGTTGTCCTACGGGACAAGCTCCTCATATGCCCCTTGGTTGCTTCCATTTGCTTGAGCCCCCTGCCATACATATATATATATATATATATATATTCAGTACATGTATATATATGTACATATGGTTGTAAAAATGCACATGTACATATATATATATATATATATATATTAATTATCATGGCCTTTGGGAACCAATGAAAACAAAACAGAGGCTTAAGCCAATGAACGTTGGCTGATCGCGCTTCTTGCGGCGCCCTTTAAAACAACCACGAAAGAGTCTTAAAAGAACAGGCACCTAACTATGTCCTGGCGTCCCTTTAAGCCAACGCGCCAAAACCAACAAAAAAAATGACAGACCAACCCGATTCTGGAAGAAATATCTCCAGGTACCACCTTCCCCAGTCTTTCCAGGGATCCTTCTTTTCAGGAAACCATCAAAAACCCAGGGGAAACAGCCGGTTTGTGAAAAGAGCAATGGTTGAAAAGAATGGGGAATCAACCCCTAGAAACATATCATCGTTCGATGGATGGATGGACCAACCCAACTCCTTGATGCGCTCGTTGCCCTTCTTCTTAAAGGCCTCGGCCTTCTGACCTGAAGAGCCGACTGGGCCGGGGACGGGCAAAAAAAACAAAACGCCACGTAAGGGAACAACTCACTTCCGATCGAGAGGACGGGCCATAAAAAGTAACCAACCTTTTCCAAGACCCCCCAATGGCTTGCAAATAATCCCAAAACAGCCATTGGGAGGTCATTCCACGGACCATTTGCCATTGGGGGGTCCTGGTTGACCACTAAAATGGTCCAAACCTGAGCGACCAAAGCCCAGTTGGACTCGGGAAGTGAGACAACGCCGGTAATCCTCTGGGCTGACTGTGACTTGCCCATGTTCTTGTGGGCAAAGCGAGGCGTCCGGAAAAAGCAGAGGAGAACTTCCCCTACCACAAGCACCACAAGCAGGGCTTCACAAACCCAAGAAAGTATAAAGTCCAGAAAGTGAGATACTGAAAGAAGGCACCACCAAAATGGTCCAACCCCATGACTAAATCATGGGGCCGCGAGGGAGGGAGCCCTAAATAAGGCCTTAGCAAGCCCTTCATAAGGCCTTCTATAGGGCCCCCTCCCCCTCCCCTCCCCCCCAAGTTCCATGACTAAAGTCCGAAACGGAACTCGGAGAGTGAGGATCAGATTGGTTCGAGAGCTTCTCTTGGTTGACGTTGGAAGGGGAGCAGATTTTAGCAGTTCAGTTGTGAGGAGTTCAACCACTCAACCACAATAAGCCAAACATGTAAAAACTGTTTCCTAACAACAACCATGAAAAGGAGAGGGGAGGAGGAGGGGGACCTAAATAAGGCCTTGTTAAGCCCTTACTTACTAAGGCCTTGTTTAGGGCCCCCTCCCCTCCCAAGTTCCATGACTAAAGTCCGAAACCGAACTCAGGGAGCAGTGGGGGCCGAGCGCTTCTGAGGCGCCCAGCAGAGCTCCAGCGCCGCCTCGGGCTCGGCGCAAGCCGCCGCCTCTTTCCTCTTCAGCTCCGCCAGCGCCTCCTCCACCGAGGCCTCGGGGCGAAAAGACGCGCAAGCGTCACGTCCGAGCTGCCGGCCCCTGTCTTGGAACCCCACTACTGTGGATGGACGAAATCCTGCACCACCTAAGACACCCTGGAATGATGGTTCCCCTGTAAATACCAGCAAACAATGGTTTCCCATGGTTTCAAAGTGGTGCAGGATTTCTTCCATCCACAGTAGGTCCTCCAGTAGAACCCAAAGAAGTAGAACCCAACTAGGTCCTCCTAGAAGTGGCAGCTGCCGACCCTTTCTTTGGACCCAAAGAACCTCTGGTACATTTTGCCCTGGAAGTGGTAAATAGTTGCCCGACATAGGCGCCCACATTTTAGGAGTAGGGGGCCTGGCAAAGTTGCACAAACAGCAAATCCCCCTCCGAGGTCCTTCAATAGAGAGGATAGAATAAGGGTACCAACTTTTAGTGGGGCAAAAGGGCACTACTGGGGACCTAGCCAATGCCAAAGAACCTCGCTATGCCTCGCTTGCAGCCCAACCCCCTTTCCGTTGGTAAAAGGCATGTCAAAGTACGCCATGCAGGAGCCCCCATCCAGCACACCACTTCTTTTTGGACAGCACATGGATTTTGGCACCATTTTTAGACCAGGGAAAAACATCTCTACTCTTGGTATGGTAGCAAAAACACTTTGTTTTTTGCAGCCCCCCAGTAAAAATGAACAGAACAAAAAAAACTAAAGAAACACAAACACATGCCAGGGAACAGTGAAGAAAAAGGAAACGGGGGGGCTGGCACATGTTTGGGGTTTGTTTCCCCCCGTTCCTTCAACACAACCTGAGAAGGGGACGAGCACAATTCATCCCAAGCCAGCCGCCAGAAAGAAAACAGTAATGTTGACCTCGGATTTATAAACCCCTGTTTATTAATATGGGGGTGTTCCCCTCTGAAAGTGATAAATCCCCACTAAAACCAGGGACACCCCCATATAAATAAACAGGGGTTTATTAATCCGGGGTCAACATTATTTTGATTTCGGCTGCGTGAATTAGGCGACTTCAGGCCTCAAAAGAAAGCACACCACTGGACTGGGTTGCAACTGGACGCGCGAAAGGTGAAACTTGCTACTAGTGGGGGAAATAGTCAAAATACCGACACTCAGTTGCCCCCTTGAGGGGGCCCAACAATTATATATATATATATATATATATATATATTTAAAAAAATGTTTGGAACCTTGACTACATCTGAATCTGGAAAACCAAGAGGTCAAAAGGTCGAATCGCGTTTGGCAACTAAGCAAAGTTGAAAGCTCAAGAGGAAACGGATCCGGTTGTAATGGGAAACCAAGCGTTGAAGACGGAAATCCATTTTCGGGAGTTGCGAACCAAAAAAGGGAACCACCCATTCACACGAGG